GTTAGATTGTATTCCAAACTGCTAAGGACTGTAGAAAAGATTTCGAGTGAGTTCTCACCTTGCTCAAATCGGTGGGTAGAGCCAATCTGTAGGCTACCCGCCCCACCCTCTCCAAAACATCATAGGGGCCGATGAATCTAGGGCTTAGCTTGCCTTTCTTCCCGAATCGCATTACGCCCTTAGTAGGAGACACTTTGAGTAGTACTTTCTCTCCTACCTCGAACTCAGCTGGTTTTCGCCCTAGGTCCGCATACGACTTCTGTCTGTCTTGTGCTGCTTTCATCCTCGCTTGTATAAGTTTGACTTTCTCTATAGTATCTTGCAGGTATTGTGGCCCCAAAACGACCTTATCCACCATATCACCCCAACACAGTGGGCTTCTACACTTTTGACCGTAAAGCGCCTCGTACGGAGCCATCTTAATGCTTGCTTGATAACTGTTATTGTACGAGAACTCTACAAGGTCTAGGTGCTCGTCCCACGCTCCTTGCAAGTCCAGCACACATGCTCTTAACATATCTTCAAGCGTCTGAATAGTCCTCTCGGTCTGACCATCCGTAGTCGGGTGAAATGCAGTACTTAGCTTCAGCTTAGTCCCCATAGCAGCTTGTAATTCCTTCCAAAATTGTGATAGGAATCGGGAATCTCGGTCGGACACAATGTCTCGGGGTATACCGTGATATTTGACCACGTGTCTGATGTAGGCTCTTGCCAACTTATCCATACTCCAGGTCTCATTCATGGGAATGAACCTAGCAGTCTTGGTCAACCTATCCACGATCACCCAAATCTTATCTTTCCCGGACTTCGTTACGGGTAAACCTCCAACAAAGTCCATCGAGATCGAGTCCCATTTCCACATCGGTACCTCCAAGGATTGCACAAGTCCCTTGGGTTTACATCTTTCGGCTTTGACTTTTTGGCAGTTCAGGCATTTAGACACAAATTCGGCTACTTCTCTCTTCATCCTCGGCCACCAAAAGTTCTTCTTCAGATCCTTGTATAGTTTATCTCCTCCCGGATGTACCGAATAAGGTGTGTTGTGTCCTTCCTCCATGATTTGCTTTTTGATATCGTCACATTTCATTGGGACACACCACCTTCCCTTATAGCGGATACTCCCGTCTTCGTGAAGTTGGAATGGTCCATTGACCCCGTCTTTCATTCCCGCTTTGACTCGCTCCAATTTAACATCTCCTGGTTGACCAGCCTTGATTTCATCGAAGATAGAGGGTAAAATGGTCATATTGTATAACTGAATCTCACCCTCCACTTCACCGCGCTCCTTGACTTCCAATTTTAGCCTCTGAAACTCTCGGTAGAGCTCTTCTGGTAATATCCACGTTGCTCGGCTTGTGTGCTCCGCCTTTCGGCTTAAAGCATCTACTACGACATTAGCTTTTCCCTCGTGATATTGGATCTCCAGGTCATAGTCTTTGACAAGCTCTAGCCATCTTCTTTGTCTCATGTTGAGTTCTTTCTGCGTGAATATGTACTTGAGACTTTTATGATCTGTGAATATCTTGCACGGTGGCCCGTACAAGTAATGCCTCCATATCTTCAAAGCAAATACAACTGCGGCTAGCTCTAAATCGTGTGTTGGATAGTTAACTTCATGCACCTTCAACTGTCGGGATGCATAAGCTACTACCTTCCCGTTCTGCATGAGCACACAGCCCAGGCCATTTTTGGACGCATCACAGTAGATTTCAAATCCTTCGGTTCCCGATGGAAGTGTCAATACCGGTGCAGTCGTCAATCTCTTTTTCAACTCTTGAAATGCCTTCTCACAGTCTTCACTCCAATGGAATCTCGTGATCTTCTTCATCAAATTGGTCAACGGTCTAGCTATCTTGGAGAAATCTTTGACAAATCTCCGATAATAACCTGCTAACCCAAGGAAGCTTCTTACTTCTGTCACTGTGGTAGGTGCACGCCACTCGGTTATTGCCTCAATCTTCGACGGGTCCACAGAAACTCCCTCCTTAGTAATGATGTGACCGAGAAATGCAACTCGGTCCCTCCAGAAATCACACTTGGAGAATTTAGCATAAAGTTGGTTCTCTCTCAAAGTTTGCAGCACAATCCTCAAATGCTCTTCGTGGTCTTTTGGACTCTTGGAGTATACAAGTATGTCGTCAATGAACACCACCACAAATGCATCAAGATAGGGGCGAAATACACGATTCATTAAATCCATGAACACCGCTGGTGCGTTGGTCAGACCAAACGGCATCACGGTGAACTCATAATGCCCATACCTTGTGCGAAATGCGGTTTTGGGTATGTCCTTTTCCGCTATTCTCACCTGATGGTAGCCAGACCGAAGATCTATCTTGGAGAATACACCTGCACCCTTCAGTTGATCAAATAAGTCGTCAATGCGGGGTAAAGGGTACCTATTCTTGACAGTGACACGATTTAGCTCTCGATAGTCGATGCACAATCTCAAGCTTCCGTCCTTCTTCTTTACAAAAAGAACCGGAGCGCCCCAGGGTGAGACACTCGGTTTGATGTAACCTTTCTCAAGTAGTTCCTCAAGTTGCTCCTTCAGTTCTTGCATCTCCTTCGGAGCCATCCGATATGGTGCCTTGGAAATAGGGGTGGTTCCGGGCATCAGTTCAATGGAGAATTCAATCTCTCGTTCCGGAGGCATCCCCGGGATTTCGTCCGGAAAAACATCAGGAAACTCATTGACTACCGAAATTTGCTCAATTGTCTTGTCCTCAACGTTGAGATCCTTCACCATGCATAGGTATGCTTCACATCCCTTTCGGACGTATCTCTTCATTTGTTGTATCGTCATTAGCTTAACTCCGGGATTGTCGGTCGCAGCTTTGAATGACACTCGCTTACCACCGGGGCCCTTCATGATCACTTTTTGTTCACCGCAAAGGATCTTTGCTTTGTATCTCCCTAGCCAATCCATGCCAAGCACCACATCTATGTCTTCGAGGTCAAATTGCACCAAATCTCCCGGTAGGTTGATTTCAGCTATGGCTATGGGTACATCTGTGTATACCTCCCTACAAGCTACGACTTTATTGCCTGCTGTTTTTACATTCAATTCTATACTAGTCGTAGGTTCTATTTTTAACTTCTTTACAAAACTAGAAGAAATAAAGCTATGTGAAGCACCAGAATCAAACAATACATAAGCAGGAGTGTTGTTAACATTAATGATACCTGCAACCACATCATGTGCACGTGCTTGTGCTTGATTCATCACATAGATGCGACCTTGGTTAGGGGCATTGTTTTTGTTGTTATTGCCCCCATCGTGGTTCTGATTCGGGGTTCGGTTGGCATCTCCCGCTCCGTTTCCACGATTATTATTGACACGATTCGCCCCAGCTCCAGGTTGATTCCCACCTCCTCGATTATTCCCCTGGTTTTGAGGGCCTGTCTTCAATTTACTCAGGCATTCGAATGACCGATGTCCCATCTTTCCACAATTGAAGCAATTCACGAGCTTGCCGTCACAGTCAACACCCGGATGATCCCTCTTGCACTTCCAGCAATGAAAATGCCTATCACCTGTCCCACTTTGATGGTTTTGCTTCGGGCCTAGCCCAAAGAATCTCCTCCCCTCATGCGGCCGATTGTCCCTCTTCCACGGAAGTTGTTGTTCCTCATGATGAGTTTTGAGCCTCTTCTCCTTTGCTTTATTCTCCTCCTCGTTCTTTCGGATTTTCTTATGGGCTTCTCGTTGTAGTTGAATAACCCGATAGTGCTTCGCAGCTCTATAATAGGCATCATCCAATGTTTGGCATTCTTGCACACTCAAGGCCTTCTGTGTGTCATAGTTAAGTCCCCTGACGAACTTCTCGACCTTGCTTTCTTCATCAGGCACTAGTGATGATGCAAATTCTGCCAGTGAGACAAATTTAGTGTGATACTCTTGCACCGTCATTTCTCCTTGTTTCAGATGCAGGAATTTGTCATAATTTTCTGCCTGCACGTGTGGTGGGTAAAACCTCTTTCGCAGTGCTTGCTTGAACCGTTCCCAAGTGAAGTCCGGTTGTGCGCGCAACCCTGGTCCCGCATTAACCCACCATTTATCTGCTTCTTCATGCAGATAATAAACAGCAATGTCGATTCGTTGTTCCACAGGACAATTGATTGCGTCAAATAGCTTATCAAAGGTGCGTATCCAATTTTCGAGAATGATTGGGTCCTCTTGCCCAAGGAAGCTCGGTGGATTTCGCGCCGCTACACGGGTTTCCATGTCACTGCCGTTATTACGTGGCTGGTTGTTTTGGAGTACCGCATTCGCAATAGTGTGGGTGAGTTGAGTAAGAAGCTGAACAGTTTGGGCCAATTCCGCATTGGTTGGCACAGCATTCAGATCACGTCTTGGTGGCATAATGTCTTCATGAAAGAATAAATATTTAGGATTAGTACATGAAATTTTCTAAAATGGTCCATAGGTATCCTAATCTAAGGATTTCACTAGGATTATATGGCCACCTACGACTTTTGCATATTGATTTCACATTCCAAAAACTTCACACGTACCACACATAAGAGGATTTACATACCTTAGCCATGAAGTTTCCTTTTGAGGCTTCCCACCATTTTGGGTTCCCATTTCGCATATGGGTCCCCATACACATATAATTTCAAATATTCATATAACAACAAACACAACAAGTAGCAGAATAACCACACAATCCTCACTGCGTCCATATAGTCCTATTTTATTTTTCTTTCCTAGCTAGTTAGTTTAAAATAATTCAGAAATCCTTTTAAGAATAAAAATTATTTTAAGAAAAAAAATGAACCCAAAAAAAATTATTTAACCCAAAAATAATTCAAAAATAATCATTTTAAGAATAAAATGAACCCAAAAATAATCATTTTAAGAATAAAATGAACCCAAAAATAATTCAAAAATAATTATTTTGCTCTGATACCAACTTGTAACACCCCCAAATTTTCCACCCAAAATAATTATTTAAATAATTATTTATGCAAATGAAAATGAACTTAATTTGAAATATTGAAATGTTGCAGCGGAGTAACATAATTGAAAATTGAAGGTGTTACCGCCACACTTAGCAAGACCATCGCTAAGTGCACAGGCTAACAGAAGTACTTGTTCAAATATTCTAGAGTGAGGAAATTAGAGTAGTAAAGATGTCTATTACATGATCTTAAATCAAAAGTTCATAAATAAAGTCTTATTACTAGTAATATCTCTAGCTAGCGCTCTCAAGAACCGTAAGCATGCATGTCATCATCCAAAGCATATCCATCTGTACAAACAAGAAGGAAAAGAAAACAAAAGAGACAAAAATTAGCTTTCGCTAAGTAAGCCCCACCCAACCCCGTAAAATAATAGGTTTGATGAAAATAATGTTTTGTATATAGTATAGGTAAATGATTTTTGTCAAATAAAATTCTCTTGTCTTTGCTTTCCTCAAAATCTCATTATAGCTAAACTCCCTAGTAGATTCGAAGGGCGGTGCTCAAGATCATATTGAGCCCGGTGGACCGTTGTTATGTACGGCCACCCCGGAACTTTTGCCGGTACCACAACTCCCATGGAAACTGAACTTCTACCTTAAGTGTGCACACCCCCAAAAGGGATTCCAAGCCCTCCGAGTAGTAAGAAGCCCAAGTAGTCCGGACGTCAACGTCCCCCTACCACACCAAAAAGGGTTTACCCCTTAGATGACTAGGTTACTGCTACTACTAACATAAAAGGGTCTGATGCCCAAAGATAAAATTCTCAATTTTTCTCGGATTGGTTACCGAGCCTCCCAAATATTTCCAAAATTTCTCGGATTTGTTACCGAGCCTCCCAAATCAGTAGTAGCAGCCCTAACCACCCCCACAGTCAAGGTCGTGGAGATCACCGACACCGCGGATTTCTCCCGCGATGCCCTTACATTGAAAGGTTCATTTTATCTTGAATTATTTCCCAAAAATTTCTATATCTATTATTCATAGATATAGTTTTAGAACAAGAATTTCTATTCACATTTCTCCAAAACGTACAACATAACATACTTTACACAAATAGTTCACAATTCATGAAAATCCACATAATCATAATCTCAACAACAATTACTCAAATAAATAAATAAAAATACATATCATATGTAATATACGAGGTAAAAGCATTTTGGTTGACATAGGACTTACCTCAAACTCCAAATACTTTTAGTTAGGTCTCCTACTTTGCTCCTCACTCAAATCACCTTCTATTTAAAATTCACAAATCAATATCTATCCAACTTATATTCTAATTCTCCTATCCTCTAATATAATCTCCCGTTTTTACTACTCTTCTAAGGTTAACTTTTATGATATATTTTATTCTTATTTTATTTATTATTATTTCTTTTTGCATTGAAAATTCCTTCTCTTAATTAACTCGATATGTGTAAAATAGTATCAACATTCTACTTCTTTTTATAAAATAGTCTACATGAGCCCAGTTTACCTCTAATTCATTCAAAATTTTATAATCGGCCACTTATAATTATCCATTTATTTTATTGCCATTAACTTAATCCTTCTTATTACTTTTGATCTATTAAGCCATTCAAAGTAGAATAACTTCCATCTTACTTTATAAATTTCCAAATCGTTCAATTTCATTAGTTAGCCCAATTTGATTTACATCGTAACTAGTTTCATTATACTTATTATTATTATTCTTATTATTATTATTATTATTATTATTATTATTATCATTATTATTATTTTATTATTAAACTTTTGCTATTTTTATTATCAATAGAGTTGGAGGTTGAGCCGAATAGTCTAGCTAAGAAAATACGTAGTATAAGGATAGTACCAGTTGGCCGGCGAAGAAAAAAGAAACAGAGACGTGCGTCTTTGCTATACGTGATATCGGCGACGCAGGTTATTGACGGTGGGTCCCTTCTCTCTGCTCCGGCAAGTTTCGTACCAGCCCCTCCAACGTTGATCGTTCCTCACTAGTCGCTCTCCTCCTCTCTTACTCACAGACCGGAGTTTTTAATTTAGGTGCTTTGTATGTATTTTATTTTATCTTCTTCTTATGTTATGCAGCCAGTATACATGCGCATGGAATGTATTTATAGGAGGTCTTGGTTGCTCGTTTAAGCTTCTGCGAAGGATCTAGTAGCCTGGTTATACGTCGTTTGGGTTGCTGCACTTATTGCTATTATAATTGTCATAAATGATTCGTATCATTCACAAGAGCATGTATATGGAAGGTCTTATGTGTGTGTGTGTGTAAATGATGTACATACATACATGTCCGCATGTGAGTATGTGTATAAGGATAGACACGTATGTATGTTTGACCAGCCCCTAATCCTTTTCATTTATTATTTTGTTAATATAAATTTATGTGTGTGTATTGCCCTGCCCGTATATGCATGCTCCTTATGAGCAAAGCACTATCTTTTATGTATGTGTGCATATGTTATGTATTATTTTATATTTGTCTTTAATATTTCTTTTTATTTCATTATCACACTAATTGTATGTAATTTATTTTATTTTTATTTTTATTTTATAAAATTTTAGGGTATCACATTCCATCTCCCTTAAAGAAATGTTTCGTCCTCCAAGCACAAGATAAGACAAAAGATCCAAAATGTTTTATTAATATGGAGTATTATAACTCACCCCCTAAAGAGAGGTTACGTCCTCGTAACCTAGAACATACCTCAATTGAAAAGTTTCGGATATTGCCTACGCATATCCTCCTCCAACTCCCATGTGGCATTTTCGGATAAGTGATTTGACCACAAAACTTTGACCATATTTACGGTCTTCCTCCTAGTCTCACGTGCCTTAGTGTCTAGGATCTTCACTGGCTTTTCTTCATACGTGAGTGTCTCATCCATCTCAATCACCTAGTAGTTTAAAGTGTTAACTCACAGATTGTTTATTCATGTATTGACTATTTAGCGTTAAAGGTCTTACCTCGGGGTTAATAATATGTGACCCATCATGAATGTACTTCTTTAGTTGGGATACGTGGAATACGTCGTGCACCTTGTACATGTTAAAGTATCGTTAGATTGTATTCCAAACTGCTAAGGACTGTAGAAAAGATTTCGAGTGAGTTCTCACCTTGCTCAAATCGGTGGGTAGAGCCAATCTGTAGGCTACCCGCCCCACCCTCTCCAAAACATCATAGGGGCCGATGAATCTAGGGCTTAGCTTGCCTTTCTTCCCGAATCGCATTACGCCCTTAGTAGGAGACACTTTGAGTAGTACTTTCTCTCCTACCTCGAACTCAGCTGGTTTTCGCCCTAGGTCCGCATACGACTTCTGTCTGTCTTGTGCTGCTTTCATCCTCGCTTGTATAAGTTTGACTTTCTCTATAGTATCTTGCAGGTATTGTGGCCCCAAAACGACCTTATCCACCATATCACCCCAACACAGTGGGCTTCTACACTTTTGACCGTAAAGCGCCTCGTACGGAGCCATCTTAATGCTTGCTTGATAACTGTTATTGTACGAGAACTCTACAAGGTCTAGGTGCTCGTCCCACGCTCCTTGCAAGTCCAGCACACATGCTCTTAACATATCTTCAAGCGTCTGAATAGTCCTCTCGGTCTGACCATCCGTAGTCGGGTGAAATGCAGTACTTAGCTTCAGCTTAGTCCCCATAGCAGCTTGTAATTCCTTCCAAAATTGTGATAGGAATCGGGAATCTCGGTCGGACACAATGTCTCGGGGTATACCGTGATATTTGACCACGTGTCTGATGTAGGCTCTTGCCAACTTATCCATACTCCAGGTCTCATTCATGGGAATGAACCTAGCAGTCTTGGTCAACCTATCCACGATCACCCAAATCTTATCTTTCCCGGACTTCGTTACGGGTAAACCTCCAACAAAGTCCATCGAGATCGAGTCCCATTTCCACATCGGTACCTCCAAGGATTGCACAAGTCCCTTGGGTTTACATCTTTCGGCTTTGACTTTTTGGCAGTTCAGGCATTTAGACACAAATTCGGCTACTTCTCTCTTCATCCTCGGCCACCAAAAGTTCTTCTTCAGATCCTTGTATAGTTTATCTCCTCCCGGATGTACCGAATAAGGTGTGTTGTGTCCTTCCTCCATGATTTGCTTTTTGATATCGTCACATTTCATTGGGACACACCACCTTCCCTTATAGCGGATACTCCCGTCTTCGTGAAGTTGGAATGGTCCATTGACCCCGTCTTTCATTCCCGCTTTGACTCGCTCCAATTTAACATCTCCTGGTTGACCAGCCTTGATTTCATCGAAGATAGAGGGTAAAATGGTCATATTGTATAACTGAATCTCACCCTCCACTTCACCGCGCTCCTTGACTTCCAATTTTAGCCTCTGAAACTCTCGGTAGAGCTCTTCTGGTAATATCCACGTTGCTCGGCTTGTGTGCTCCGCCTTTCGGCTTAAAGCATCTACTACGACATTAGCTTTTCCCTCGTGATATTGGATCTCCAGGTCATAGTCTTTGACAAGCTCTAGCCATCTTCTTTGTCTCATGTTGAGTTCTTTCTGCGTGAATATGTACTTGAGACTTTTATGATCTGTGAATATCTTGCACGGTGGCCCGTACAAGTAATGCCTCCATATCTTCAAAGCAAATACAACTGCGGCTAGCTCTAAATCGTGTGTTGGATAGTTAACTTCATGCACCTTCAACTGTCGGGATGCATAAGCTACTACCTTCCCGTTCTGCATGAGCACACAGCCCAGGCCATTTTTGGACGCATCACAGTAGATTTCAAATCCTTCGGTTCCCGATGGAAGTGTCAATACCGGTGCAGTCGTCAATCTCTTTTTCAACTCTTGAAATGCCTTCTCACAGTCTTCACTCCAATGGAATCTCGTGATCTTCTTCATCAAATTGGTCAACGGTCTAGCTATCTTGGAGAAATCTTTGACAAATCTCCGATAATAACCTGCTAACCCAAGGAAGCTTCTTACTTCTGTCACTGTGGTAGGTGCACGCCACTCGGTTATTGCCTCAATCTTCGACGGGTCCACAGAAACTCCCTCCTTAGTAATGATGTGACCGAGAAATGCAACTCGGTCCCTCCAGAAATCACACTTGGAGAATTTAGCATAAAGTTGGTTCTCTCTCAAAGTTTGCAGCACAATCCTCAAATGCTCTTCGTGGTCTTTTGGACTCTTGGAGTATACAAGTATGTCGTCAATGAACACCACCACAAATGCATCAAGATAGGGGCGAAATACACGATTCATTAAATCCATGAACACCGCTGGTGCGTTGGTCAGACCAAACGGCATCACGGTGAACTCATAATGCCCATACCTTGTGCGAAATGCGGTTTTGGGTATGTCCTTTTCCGCTATTCTCACCTGATGGTAGCCAGACCGAAGATCTATCTTGGAGAATACACCTGCACCCTTCAGTTGATCAAATAAGTCGTCAATGCGGGGTAAAGGGTACCTATTCTTGACAGTGACACGATTTAGCTCTCGATAGTCGATGCACAATCTCAAGCTTCCGTCCTTCTTCTTTACAAAAAGAACCGGAGCGCCCCAGGGTGAGACACTCGGTTTGATGTAACCTTTCTCAAGTAGTTCCTCAAGTTGCTCCTTCAGTTCTTGCATCTCCTTCGGAGCCATCCGATATGGTGCCTTGGAAATAGGGGTGGTTCCGGGCATCAGTTCAATGGAGAATTCAATCTCTCGTTCCGGAGGCATCCCCGGGATTTCGTCCGGAAAAACATCAGGAAACTCATTGACTACCGAAATTTGCTCAATTGTCTTGTCCTCAACGTTGAGATCCTTCACCATGCATAGGTATGCTTCACATCCCTTTCGGACGTATCTCTTCATTTGTTGTATCGTCATTAGCTTAACTCCGGGATTGTCGGTCGCAGCTTTGAATGACACTCGCTTACCACCGGGGCCCTTCATGATCACTTTTTGTTCACCGCAAAGGATCTTTGCTTTGTATCTCCCTAGCCAATCCATGCCAAGCACCACATCTATGTCTTCGAGGTCAAATTGCACCAAATCTCCCGGTAGGTTGATTTCAGCTATGGCTATGGGTACATCTGTGTATACCTCCCTACAAGCTACGACTTTATTGCCTGCTGTTTTTACATTCAATTCTATACTAGTCGTAGGTTCTATTTTTAACTTCTTTACAAAACTAGAAGAAATAAAGCTATGTGAAGCACCAGAATCAAACAATACATAAGCAGGAGTGTTGTTAACATTAATGATACCTGCAACCACATCATGTGCACGTGCTTGTGCTTGATTCATCACATAGATGCGACCTTGGTTAGGGGCATTGTTTTTGTTGTTATTGCCCCCATCGTGGTTCTGATTCGGGGTTCGGTTGGCATCTCCCGCTCCGTTTCCACGATTATTATTGACACGATTCGCCCCAGCTCCAGGTTGATTCCCACCTCCTCGATTATTCCCCTGGTTTTGAGGGCCTGTCTTCAATTTACTCAGGCATTCGAATGACCGATGTCCCATCTTTCCACAATTGAAGCAATTCACGAGCTTGCCGTCACAGTCAACACCCGGATGATCCCTCTTGCACTTCCAGCAATGAAAATGCCTATCACCTGTCCCACTTTGATGGTTTTGCTTCGGGCCTAGCCCAAAGAATCTCCTCCCCTCATGCGGCCGATTGTCCCTCTTCCACGGAAGTTGTTGTTCCTCATGATGAGTTTTGAGCCTCTTCTCCTTTGCTTTATTCTCCTCCTCGTTCTTTCGGATTTTCTTATGGGCTTCTCGTTGTAGTTGAATAACCCGATAGTGCTTCGCAGCTCTATAATAGGCATCATCCAATGTTTGGCATTCTTGCACACTCAAGGCCTTCTGTGTGTCATAGTTAAGTCCCCTGACGAACTTCTCGACCTTGCTTTCTTCATCAGGCACTAGTGATGATGCAAATTCTGCCAGTGAGACAAATTTAGTGTGATACTCTTGCACCGTCATTTCTCCTTGTTTCAGATGCAGGAATTTGTCATAATTTTCTGCCTGCACGTGTGGTGGGTAAAACCTCTTTCGCAGTGCTTGCTTGAACCGTTCCCAAGTGAAGTCCGGTTGTGCGCGCAACCCTGGTCCCGCATTAACCCACCATTTATCTGCTTCTTCATGCAGATAATAAACAGCAATGTCGATTCGTTGTTCCACAGGACAATTGATTGCGTCAAATAGCTTATCAAAGGTGCGTATCCAATTTTCGAGAATGATTGGGTCCTCTTGCCCAAGGAAGCTCGGTGGATTTCGCGCCGCTACACGGGTTTCCATGTCACTGCCGTTATTACGTGGCTGGTTGTTTTGGAGTACCGCATTCGCAATAGTGTGGGTGAGTTGAGTAAGAAGCTGAACAGTTTGGGCCAATTCCGCATTGGTTGGCACAGCATTCAGATCACGTCTTGGTGGCATAATGTCTTCATGAAAGAATAAATATTTAGGATTAGTACATGAAATTTTCTAAAATGGTCCATAGGTATCCTAATCTAAGGATTTCACTAGGATTATATGGCCACCTACGACTTTTGCATATTGATTTCACATTCCAAAAACTTCACACGTACCACACATAAGAGGATTTACATACCTTAGCCATGAAGTTTCCTTTTGAGGCTTCCCACCATTTTGGGTTCCCATTTCGCATATGGGTCCCCATACACATATAATTTCAAATATTCATATAACAACAAACACAACAAGTAGCAGAATAACCACACAATCCTCACTGCGTCCATATAGTCCTATTTTATTTTTCTTTCCTAGCTAGTTAGTTTAAAATAATTCAGAAATCCTTTTAAGAATAAAAATTATTTTAAGAAAAAAAATGAACCCAAAAAAAATTATTTAACCCAAAAATAATTCAAAAATAATCATTTTAAGAATAAAATGAACCCAAAAATAATCATTTTAAGAATAAAATGAACCCAAAAATAATTCAAAAATAATTATTTTGCTCTGATACCAACTTGTAACACCCCCAAATTTTCCACCCAAAATAATTATTTAAATAATTATTTATGCAAATGAAAATGAACTTAATTTGAAATATTGAAATGTTGCAGCGGAGTAACATAATTGAAAATTGAAGGTGTTACCGCCACACTTAGCAAGACCATCGCTAAGTGCACAGGCTAACAGAAGTACTTGTTCAAATATTCTAGAGTGAGGAAATTAGAGTAGTAAAGATGTCTATTACATGATCTTAAATCAAAAGTTCATAAATAAAGTCTTATTACTAGTAATATCTCTAGCTAGCGCTCTCAAGAACCGTAAGCATGCATGTCATCATCCAAAGCATATCCATCTGTACAAACAAGAAGGAAAAGAAAACAAAAGAGACAAAAATTAGCTTTCGCTAAGTAAGCCCCACCCAACCCCGTAAAATAATAGGTTTGATGAAAATAATGTTTTGTATATAGTATAGGTAAATGATTTTTGTCAAATAAAATTCTCTTGTCTTTGCTTTCCTCAAAATCTCATTATAGCTAAACTCCCTAGTAGATTCGAAGGGCGGTGCTCAAGATCATATTGAGCCCGGTGGACCGTTGTTATGTACGGCCACCCCGGAACTTTTGCCGGTACCACAACTCCCATGGAAACTGAACTTCTACCTTAAGTGTGCACACCCCCAAAAGGGATTCCAAGCCCTCCGAGTAGTAAGAAGCCCAAGTAGTCCGGACGTCAACGTCCCCCTACCACACCAAAAAGGGTTTACCCCTTAGATGACTAGGTTACTGCTACTACTAACATAAAAGGGTCTGATGCCCAAAGATAAAATTCTCAATTTTTCTCGGATTGGTTACCGAGCCTCCCAAATATTTCCAAAATTTCTCGGATTTGTTACCGAGCCTCCCAAATCAGTAGTAGCAGCCCTAACCACCCCCACAGTCAAGGTCGTGGAGATCACCGACACCGCGGATTTCTCCCGCGATGCCCTTACATTGAAAGGTTCATTTTATCTTGAATTATTTCCCAAAAATTTCTATATCTATTATTCATAGATATAGTTTTAGAACAAGAATTTCTATTCACATTTCTCCAAAACGTACAACATAACATACTTTACACAAATAGTTCACAATTCATGAAAATCCACATAATCATAATCTCAACAACAATTACTCAAATAAATAAATAAAAATACATATCATATGTAATATACGAGGTAAAAGCATTTTGGTTGACATAGGACTTACCTCAAACTCCAAATACTTTTAGTTAGGTCTCCTACTTTGCTCCTCACTCAAATCACCTTCTATTTAAAATTCACAAATCAATATCTATCCAACTTATATTCTAATTCTCCTATCCTCTAATATAATCTCCCGTTTTTACTACTCTTCTAAGGTTAACTTTTATGATATATTTTATTCTTATTTTATTTATTATTATTTCTTTTTGCATTGAAAATTCCTTCTCTTAATTAACTCGATATGTGTAAAATAGTATCAACATTCTACTTCTTTTTATAAAATAGTCTACATGAGCCCAGTTTACCTCTAATTCATTCAAAATTTTATAATCGGCCACTTATAATTATCCATTTATTTTATTGCCATTAACTTAATCCTTCTTATTACTTTTGATCTATTAAGCCATTCAAAGTAGAATAACTTCCATCTTACTTTATAAATTTCCAAATCGTTCAATTTCATTAGTTAGCCCAATTTGATTTACATCGTAACTAGTTTCATTATACTTATTATTATTATTCTTATTATTATTATTATTATTATTATTATTATTATCATTATTATTATTTTATTATTAAACTTTTGCTATTTTTATTATCAATAGAGTTGGAGGTTGAGCCGAATAGTCTAGCTAAGAAAATACGTAGTATAAGGATAGTACCAGTTGGCCGGCGAAGAAAAAAGAAACAGAGACGTGCGTCTTTGCTATACGTGATATCGGCGACGCAGGTTATTGACGGTGGGTCCCTTCTCTCTGCTCCGGCAAGTTTCGTACCAGCCCCTCCAACGTTGATCGTTCCTCACTAGTCGCTCTCCTCCTCTCTTACTCACAGACCGGAGTTTTTAATTTAGGTGCTTTGTATGTATTTTATTTTATCTTCTTCTTATGTTATGCAGCCAGTATACATGCGCATGGAATGTATTTATAGGAGGTCTTGGTTGCTCGTTTAAGCTTCTGCGAAGGATCTAGTAGCCTGGTTATACGTCGTTTGGGTTGCTGCACTTATTGCTATTATAATTGTCATAAATGATTCGTATCATTCACAAGAGCATGTATATGGAAGGTCTTATGTGTGTGTGTGTGTGTAAATGATGTACATACATACATGTCCGCATGTGAGTATGTGTATAAGGATAGACACGTATGTATGTTTGACCAGCCCCTAATCCTTTTCATTTATTATTTAGTTAATATAAATTTATGTGTGTGTATTGCCCTGCCCGTATATGCATGCTCCTTATGAGCAAAGCACTATCTTTTATGTATGTGTGCATATGTTATGTATTATTTTATATTTGTCTTTAATATTTCTTTTTATTTCATTATCACACTAATTGTATCTAATTTATTTTATTTTTATTTTTATTTTATAAAATTTTAGGGTATCACACATCCCCCCAAAATGAAACGAAAAACGTCAGCCTTCGGTCCACAACAGCAACACAACTACTCTACTCCTTTTCACCACTTTACAAGTGCCTCAAGGAATGGGGGACTGGAGGACCCCCTCGGGAAAATCATTAAATTACAAAATTAGTGAAATTCCAACAAACGACAAGGCAAGCCCTCAAGTCCTGACATGTGGGTAACTGAGGGACTGCCTTCGGCGGGGACATAAAAGCAACAACTCCTCACCAACTTCAGAGATCACGATGGGACAACATAAAAGGGCAAGCACAAGTTACTCCTTTTCCCTCAAGTACCTTTCGGCAAAAGGAGTGAGGGACTCCTGATGGAGTATATGGCCCGGAAACCCCCGGCCCACAGACTCCTACTACTCCAGCGAAGGCCCAACAGGCCCAAAAGGCCCAACAGGCCCAGATCACAGCGCCCAGAGTACCAATCAGCCCGCACTACGCGCCAGGGGTGCCTTCGACCCCCTGGCCGAAGGCTCTAAACTCTCACAGGACGGGCTTCGCAAGCAAATTAAGAAACTGGGAGAAAACGGCGAAAACAGTAGCCCTCGGTACTGTGAGCCCTCGGCACCAGAGTGCCATCGGTTGGAGGAGCCCTCAGCCATTGCTCTATAGCCGAAGGCATCTCACTCGACAAGATATCCGCCTCACATGCGTGCAGATCACCGTACCCTGCACAGACGTCCCATCTCACAGCCGCATTAAATGCGGCCACATGCGGCTGCCAGCGCCAACCAGTTGAGGTGACCCCTCGGCCAATGAGCGCTTGACACGTGTCCCTGTCCGGCATTTATTGCTACTATAAATAGCACCCCGTTTCCTCATTTGTAACCACGCTGAAAACGGCATTCATACTGAATACACTCTCTCTCTACTTTTACTTACTTGCTCTGACTTCTCTCTAAGTTATTCCCCGTAATAACCCTTCGGATATATACCCCCGGGTAGACCATCCATCACAACCGTTTTTTCTTTTTTATAATTTCAAATGGCAAATAGATATCTCTCTTTTGCATCAACCCCTTTGGGTATTCTTGTTGTTTAAATCCATATCACCCAACAAAACAGTTTACATGAAATCTTTGAAACATTTGAATTGGGGAAATTTTTACTTAACACAATTTTGTTTTGAATACTTAACTCACAGTCTCACATCCACACACACTCACACAAACCGAAGTATAAAGAATATTGAAGTATAAAGAATGTTTCTTACATTCAAAGTATCAAGATTGTTTTTACATTCAACAAACCTCTTTGTTTTCCACACATGATTTTTGAGTAAAATGGTAGAAGTATGCTTTTATATCCAAATTTGTGAGTAACAATGGGTGTAAAATAGAAGTAAAATGGGAGTAAAATGTTTGAGAGAAAAACTCTAGAGTTTGCAATGGGAGCTTTGTGCAGCGAGCCAGTGTAAGGAACCATGATAGAAGTATGCTTTTATAGCCAAATTTTGCTTTCAAGAATATGGTTGCCTAAAAAGAGACGCAATGTTGTATGGGCAACCTGCGAGTACTGTATGTTGCCTAAAAAAGTTAAATGAGTAAACTACACACATAAAATTCATATTCATTTTTCCATAACATCTTATCTTTTTCTCCAAAACTGCACGTCATCTCCCAAGCATGGGCTTTGTAAATCTTTCTCAAGATATTTCTCTTTTTATATTCATTTTAACATTCTCTGGGACTTCCAAAAAAAATATTTCTCCTAAACGAATGGGTTGCCCGGCAGCATGTGCATGTGTAATCAACAATTCAACGTCACTGTACATATCCTGTCAACATGGGCATGTGTAATCAACATCATCACTGTATCTATAGGAAATGTAACACCCCACCTGGATCGACCCCGCCGACCCGAGCGGTTTGTCACGTACTAGAAAACCGAAACAGATTTATTAAAAGACTTATTAAATTAGATCGTATTTAAACACTTTTTTTTTACAAGCATAATTTATTTATTAAATAATTCACAACTAACCCAAAATGAACATGAGTTTATTAAACAAACATAACGCCAATATCACGAAATTCATATAACTGCAGCGGAAGGTTTTTACAAAATATCAAAATGTAAATTTTAAGTTTATTTCAGAATCCCACAAAACACACCATATGCACATGAGTCCTATGCCTCCTTCCATCCCGATGCTTCAAGTTGATTCTGCGCTTGACCTACGGGTAGGAAAAACAACTACCCGCTCAGCAATGTGCTGAGTGGTACGGTAATACACATATAACATATCGAAACATATAATGACATATTATAATTAGCACGTGATCATTAGAACAAATAAACATATCTGAATGACTAATGTAATTCAGAATATTCATATAAAGAACAGAACAAGTTCAGATATCTGACTATCAGATAATTCATGTTTTTAACATGTATCATTAATCAGACATATTCATTTAATTAGCCTTAAACTCAAGAAACTGGACCTAGACAGAGGAATACTAACGGTAAGGAATACAGTCATGAAGGCTGTACCCACATTACCCAGGAAGGATATGGAAACGTAATCGCCGGAGCTACACGTACCAATCCCTAACAGAAGCTAGCTGAACAGAAAAGGACGAGATCACCAAAGAGACCCGAACCTTAACAGGAGAGTAATAGTGTTCTAAAAATATTTCAGGAGTGTACGAAGTACACTAAACATGAGAACACTAATTCCTCTAAAACAGAATTTCAGGAGTGTACGTAGTACACTAAACAGAACAGGAGTATTCACGTCAAAGTGCCAGACCAAGAGTAAGGCATTTTCCAAAATAGTACTTATCTTTTATTTTAAATTACAAAAGAAATCGTGTATATAAATCATTTTCATATATAACTCTTTTTTTTTCAGCCAAAAAGCATGTGCCTTTTTAATATATATACAGTAACCAATGATTAAAAAAATATATACTACGTACTTAATATTCCATTTCTTAATAATATTATTCTTAATTCGACTTATTATATATAATAATATTTCCTCTAAAATGATTTTTAAAAATTTAATAAAACACTTTTACTAGAAAAACAAAACTAGTTATATTACAATCAAACTAGTAATGCCATCACGTAAATACATGCATGCATATCTAAACATATTTTAACAAATGTTCCATTCATAATTTCAAGTAAGTGAATAAAGGTTGTTAGCTAAATAACATCTAATTATGTAAAGTAAACACATGTATATACTTAATACTAACATAATACATAGATAATTCCCTTACTGGGACAAAATATATCGTACTCCTATATCTACGTATTATATACTTTATAGTTTCGTAAATATTAATTAATGGTCATGCATGTTCTAATATATTTAAATACTTACGTACATATTAAAAGTACATATCATGCATCCTATATTGCTTTTCAGTAGTGTTTGTTTAAAATAATGGTATTACGTATACTTATATATATACATAGTATAAGTTACGTAGTATTAAATATAAACTACATACATACAGGTCATATATAAAAAGAACATTAACTTTATTATACTTAATATACAAATATGTGTTTAGCTAATGTATTCATGTTACGTAGATCATATATTGGCCAGTTACATAAAAGCATCTAAAAACCATTTTACTAATTACACTATGTATGACTGATTTTAATTCTGCCAAATTTTACATACGTTAGTATGTATTCATCCCCATATAAAATATTAGTATAAATTCAAAGAATACACTTTAAAGCAGATAAGATAACACTAAATTATACAATGTTATCATCCCCATAACATAACAGGAAACGGGGACGGAAAATAATAATATTAATACACATTAATCTAACTGGGGCGGAAACGTACTGACCTTATAGATAAAATTTATCTGAAAATCCTTGGAGATAATACTCAATACGGACAACTATTTTTTTGCAAGCTCTTAGAATAATATTTATTTGGTTAGCTTGATTATGTAAAATTCAATGGAAGACATTACCTATTTATATGGTAAATTTTGATCCTAGTCATTCTTGAAAATGTCCTATTGAAGCCAAGTGTCCCATGATGATGATGAATTCTTGCTGCATCACTACTTCTTAGAAGTTCTTTAAATTGTTAGTCACCAATAGGTTTATTAAATATTAAAGAAATTCCTAACGTATTGTCATCCTAATTTAACTTGCCACTTTAGATGCTATTTATTTATTTTTTTAACTATAACTCTCACATTCATGTATAGTACAAAATAAATTTAAGGTTTTTTTAGTAAAATTAAGAAGAAATAATTAAGAAGAAAATTCCCAATTTTTGATTGAAAATTTATTCCTTTATAAATAAATTATTCATATCTACTTATCAATTAGACCGGATTTTGGGGCGTTACAGGAAATCTCTATGGGAAATCTATACGCATAAAAATATCCCACCACTAAAAACTGATGAATATATATTTGTTGGGATATTGGCCCGGAAGCCCAATACCCGGATTAAAGGCCCAGGATATCCAGCCCAAACAACGAGTCCACTACCCTATGATAAGTAGGCCCGGTGAGATATTCATACCGAACGGGGTTCGGATCATACATCATACTTGGGCCAAATCAACAATGTTTTACCCAGGGCCCATTATCCCATTCGGGCAACGGACAACCAGCAGGTGGCCAGACGCAATCAATGCCA